ACCGCATGGGTCGTGAGGTGTGTGCAGGACGCAGGAGTGCTTTGTTCTGCTAGGCGGTCGCTGACTCGACGGCCCCTAACCAACCCTGGGCCCAGGCCTTCATCACAGCGCCGACTCTCTGCAAGAGCCTCCTTCACCAATCAACTCTGACACGCTGCTGTCTGATTTTCCACGATGATAAAGCTGGCTCTCTCCTTCCTGGGTTCCATTCTCCACTGCTGGTGGAGAGGTCAGCAGAGCCCAGGCAGGTCGTTAGCTGCGTTTCGACATTAAATCTCTCCCCACGATTGTGAGCTCAGACTCCCCTGTCCCCTGCCTTCTTCCCCTTCTCACTCCTCACACGCAGCACTGATCGTAATTTCTTGCTTGTGGGGCCTCAATATTCCAAGATTTCAGGCAAATCATCAAAGTCAACATCCGCGTCCCTGCCATTTGGTTTCAGTGCTGTGTCCGTTCCTGTGGAGGATTTCAAAACAATAAGAAGAAGAATGACAATCCGAATAGGGATGTCAATGAATCTAATCTCTGGTGGCCAAAGAAGGTAAGGAGTTGTGCTGTCAACCCAAAGGCAGATGGTTTGAACCCACCAGCTGCTCCAAGGAGGCAAAAATGGGCAATTCCCTCCGAAGTAATTGCGGCCTCTGAAAATATGCTGTAAGATCAGTTATGAGTAGGTGTCACCTACACAGTAATGACAATCGTTCTCATTCAGTGGACAGTGACGGGGGGACATGTCCTCCGTGAGGCAGATCTGTTCTCTGGTGTGGCTGTGCACCAAAGAGTTGGAACCAACCCCAGCTGACCCTCTGGTGGGTTTTCAAAGGCAGAAAGATGCATGGGAGGAAACAGAGAGGAGGAAACACAGAGCAGGTGGTGTCCTTGAACTGCGTGCCTTTGGGATTGCAGCTCAGCTTCTTGCCACTAGGCCACCAGAGCGCCCTTTGGTTAAGCAGCACGAATGTCTGATGCACATGCTTGGACAAGTGTGAAATGTTTTTCCTCCTTGCAATGCCAACCCCCTAGAACCTTACAGTCCCAAAATAACCTTTTCAAGAAGATGGGCCTTCCAAGAGCTGAAGCTAGTCTTCCTGGCTCCTTGAGTTCTGTACCCAAGTCTTGCAACCTTCCCACTGAAGACATAATTTCAAGCTCTTATTCATTCTCCTCCCATGTCATCCCAGCCTTTGGCTGTCTTCTCAGTTAAACTCTCCTCAGCAGGAACCAAGCTATGTCTCAAGCTTCAAGCATCACAAAGATATTAAAACCTCGCAATCCAGTACTCTAACGACCTTTTCCTCCTGATGATGTGGTGAAGGAGGGACCGATCACCAGAGACGCACACTGTGACTGGTAAAATGGAAGGTCAGCACAAAGCCAAGGGCCCTCAATGGGATGAATGGACGCGATGAGCTCACACACGCCGATGACCACGAAGACGGCACAGGACGTGAGGACGGCCCAGTGGGGCCAGGCAGCACTTCCTTCCGGGAGTCAGGTGGCTGGACGGCAACTCCAACAACTACGATCCAGTGCTCCAAACAGGAATTACGGCCAAACAGAATGGAATTTGCTTCCTTAGCTGCAAATCATGTTGCTAGTCAGAACTGACCCATAGCTGCCACTCCACTGGGTTTTCAGAGGCATGAGAGAGTGACCATCGTTCTCCCGAGGAGTGGCTGGTGGATTTGAACCGTGCACCTTTGGGTGGGTAGCGCACCTCCTTACCCACTAGGCCACCAGAGCTGCATCACACATGGTTAATATTTCAAGCAAACCCTTCAGCTCTTCTACAGACAGTGTTGGGCCAGATTCTCCCAAGCCTATATATTATTAAAAAGCGACAGAATTACAAGAGTAAGTGAAATAAAGAAACAATGCCCTGAATGCGAGCTTTGCATGCCCTGAGGATTTTTGAAAACTGCTTTTAGAGCATTCCACAGATGAGGTGTCACCCAGAAATGTCCATTGCATCAAAGGCCTGTCAGGACAGGTTCTGGGTCTTCGCTCACATTGGAAAAGACGGTGCTAAACAGAGGGGATGCAAGACAAAGACGAGTGGGGTGCCACTCCATCCACCACCCTGGCACGGGGTGACCCTGGCACGGAGTGACCCGACGGTGCATGAGAGCCCGGGGATGGCTGACTCTGTGTGCTATGCATAAGCTCTCTGATTAGGTCAGCTTGTCTGATGACATTAAGACCAACCAGGCTCCACAAACACAATAATTCGATTACAGGATAATGGGGCCTGACTTTCTAGGCAATAAGACAATTTTTATTCCCAAGTGAAGAGCGAGCAGAGAAGCACGGGATGGAGGGCGCCTGGAGCCAAGCCTGGGGAGGGTGTTCTGCCTCTCTCTCTCTCCAGGCATAATACAAAGAGTCCACGGTGCCCAATTCTGCTTTCTGGTGGAAAGACACTGTTTGGCACAATTTCATGTGCCTGGGAGAACCAGGGAAAGGCAGAAATGTCTTCACTGGGAAATTTTAACATAAAGCAATTTTTTTTTAATCTTTGGGAAGAAGATAATGAAATGTAAGCATATTCTTTAATAAAAATGAAGATCCTTGTTAAAACTGAGCAGTTGTTAGTTTAACAGACAGCAAGTAATAAATGTTGAAGAGGATATGGTGAGATAGGAGCCCTTTTTTAAAATTTTTCTTTTTTTTTATGTGTGTACCATCAAATTGGATCTGACTGGTACAGGAGGCGATTGTTCCTCCTTCTTCAGCAGAGCATCTGGTGGATTTGAACTGTGCACCTCTGGGATTGTAGTGCAGTTTCCTGCCACTAGGCCACCCAGAGCTCGCCAAGAGATAGGAGCTCTTATACACTGTTAGTGGGATTGTAAAATTGTACAACCGCTCTGGAAGGCAGTTTGGTGCTTCCTCAGAAAGCTGAACACAGAATTCCCACATGGTCCAGCTATTCCACTGCTTGGAATGTACCCCATTAAAATGAGAACTGAGGCACAAACAGAAACTTGTTCACCAATGTTCATAGGACCATTTTTCACCATCGCAAGAACACGGAAACAGTCCAAATGTCCAACCACAAACGAATGGACTAAGAAACTATGGTACATTAACACGATGGAATAGTATGCAGCACACAGTAGCAATGATTTTGTAACTCATGACCTAACTGGGAAGGGACTGGAGAGCTTTATGCAGAGTGAATTAACTCAATCCCATAAGGACAAATACTGTGTAAGAACCTTATTATAGGAAGAGTTTGAGGGACCCAAGGAGGGCAGGGTGGGAGCAGAGGGATGAGGATGGGTGGTTGTTAATCACAGGTTCGCACAATCTGATGGGGGGAAGGGGAGGTAAAGGAAATGGGAAAGATCCAGCGTGAAAAACAATGTACATGAACTTCGTAAGTAAACCAGGATAAAAGAAAAATTTTATTTTAAATAAAAAAAATAAAATTGAGTTGTTATTGTTGTGTACCATCGAGTCAGAACTGACCCACAGCTTACCGTCCAGTGGGTTTTCAGACGCAGTAAATTGCATGAGAGGAGACTGCCCATCCTTCTCCCACAGAGTAGCTGGTGGATTCGAACCATGGGCCTCTGGGATTGCAGTGCAATTTCTTACCACTAGGCCACCAGAGCCCAAAACGGAGTGGAGAGTATATTAATGGAAACATTAACAGAACTTAAAAAAAGAAATAAAAAGGGGGAGGTGTGATTAATTTTCGTGTTGTCTTGCCCAGGCGCCATGCAAGCCCTGCACCATTCCAGCACCATCCAGGGTCTGTGCCGACTCTCAGCTCACCAGTAACCACCACTGACAAGTTTTCTACTTCCCCAGATACTCGGAGTGCTGTGGCTTCATAATCTTTTCCACTCTGTTTCCCCCTATCTGGCGACTGAGAGCGAGTCATATGGAATGTTCGCTTTGAAATACAAACAAGTTCATTTCAAGTGTCTGTACGTTTCAGATGAGTTGACTGGGGAAATGCTTCCAGCCTTTAAGACAATCAGGCGAGGTCTCAAAGGGGGAAAGGAAATCTTTTTGATCCTCTCATGATGGAAAACAACAATTATTCCTAGCACTTGGTTTGTTGTTGTTGTTGTTATGTGCTGTCGAGTCGTTTGCGACTCATAGTGACCCTATGTACAACAGCCCTAAACCCTGTTCTGTCCTGTGCCAATCTCATTGCCTCTGACACACCCATCCCGATTACCCCAGTCGCTGAATCAATCCACCTCATAGAGGGTCTTCCCCTCCTGCGCTGTCCCTCTACTCTACCCATGGAAAAAAAATTCAAAGCGGTCTTACTTCAGGAGAGAGTGTGTTGGGATGAGAGTGAATGAGGAGTCCTGGTGGCACACTGGTTAAATCCTCAGCGGCTAATCAAAAGGTCAGTGGTTGGAACCCCACCAGCACTCGGTAGACCGGGTGACGTGCGCCTGTAAAACTCACAGCCATGGCACCATCCTGGGGCTGTTCTGCTCGGTCCTGTGTGTCACTGGTGCTGTGTGCTACCATGCGTAGCAACCCTATGAGTAACAGCTGACCCTCCAGCAGGTTCTCAGAGACAGTTCATCACCCAGGAGGAGACTGCCTCTTCCCATGGAGTGGCTGGTGGATTTGAACCATGTGCCTTCAGGATTGCAGTTCAGTTTCTTACCACTAGGCCACCAGAGTGGAGCTGGAATCACCGTAGAGCAAAACCACGAAACCTTGGGCATTGACCTGCAAGCTTTGAGGAAATAAACTGTCTGCTTCATGAGACGATCGTGTTCATCTTCTAGCTTAAAGATGACTTCTTCTGTTATAACTTATTTATTGTCCAACTTTCAGAAGGAGAGCAAGTACCTGAAAAGATCATGGCTTGAATCTGGCGCACCTTAGTCTTTATATGGACATCATTGCTCCCTGGCACTTTGGAGAAGCCCTCAAAAGCCCAGATTAGGGTCTAGTTATTTATTTCCAAGCATTCAAGGTTTCAATCCATGATGACAGCACTGATAAAAGGCCCGTGTCCTTACCCTCTCAGAAGTTTGAAGAGCATGCAGCCCAGCGAGAACCAGTCAGCGCTGCTGTCATACGCCGTCCCCTTCTGCAGCACCTCGGGGGCCATGTACCCGTGGGTGCCCCTGGGGAGGAGAAAGCGAACAAGGAGTTATCAGAGCAGGCCGTCAGGTACCCACGTGGTCTCGCCCCCTTTACCACGTGCAGCAGCTGCCAACAGGGACCAGCATGCTTTGACACCTTTGGGGCTCACTGCCCTTCCAATGGGAACCCGCTTTTCTGCTTTAATTAGTCAATGAATTAACAAGAGTGGATTATCGTAGGAAATCAGCCCAGAGCGTACTGGCTCCATAGTCCAAGAGGTGAAATCTGGACCTCAGGACTCCTTCTCTGCTGGGGCAACAGGGTGTGGGCAGTCTCCTCATTCACTGTTGCACTGCTCCTTAGGCCATGGCCTTTCAGAAGCTGACTACTGGGCCTCTCTTCCAACGTGCTCCTATGGGCTTACATATTGCACTCAGGTGCTTTACCAAATTCATGACCCCCAAAGACGAGTGTAAATCACATACCCCCCAAAATGCCCCAAACCCCCAAAGCTCTGGAATCCATGGTATAGTTTTCACAGCACGAGGTCAACACGCCAGCCAGGAAGCCCCAGGAGACCTGCATGTTGTCATGTCCCGTGGAGTTAGGAACAGGCCCATAGCAGACCCTCCAGCAGGTTCTCAGAGGCTGTAAACCGCACAGGAGGAAACGCTCTGTCTTGTTTCTGAGGAGCCCCTCGGTGGATTAGAACCACAGGCTTATGTGTTGGTGGTGCACTTCCTGACCATGAGGCCACCAGAGCTCCCCGGAGATTGCCGTGAGGGCCCGGCAAAGAAATCCAGTTCAATGTCCCTGCTGTTGGGAGAATCCTTTCAAATGTGCAATCCTGCTTGTCTCAGGATGGAGACAAAGCCTTGGACTGATTCTGCATGGATGGAGAGAACAGGCCAGCAACAGTCACACTCCATGCTGAGCCTGGACAGGAGGAAGCAGGCACGCCTGTGGTTTCGGGCTGGGCCTGTGGGCAGACCCCTGCTAGCAGGGAGCCCCGGGCATTGTCAAAGCCTCGGAAGCACGTGCACGATGACAGACCGGGACACGAGATGCAGCTCAGAGTTCCCGTGAGGCACCCACAGACTGCTCTGTAACAGAAGTTCTTCTGGACGTTTTCTCTGCATTCCCCAGTCTGGTGGTGCAGTCTCCAAGGAGCTGTGTGGCTACTCAATTTCTCTGGTGGTTTGAAGCTCCCAGCTGTTCCACCAGAGAAAGATGGGTAATCTCCTCCTTTGTGATTTACAGCCTCAGGAAACACGCTGGAGGACTGAGCGTGCATCAGTGCGGACCCTACAGCGGTGAGAGTGAGTGTCAGCTTGCAGGTGTCATCATGTGTGACCCCTTCCTTAAAAGGAACCTGTCAGGAGCCTCGGCTATGAACCTGCTTTGCAGACAGGCTTCCTCAACAAAGGCCCATGAAGCTCAGTTTAGGTAGAAACTCGAGCCTGTAATGTTGACGTCTATTCTAGCCCCAAGGAGAGAAAATCGCTGGGCCTCAGGGAACAGACTGAGTTGCACAAAGAGTGTAGACTCTGAAATCAGACAGCATTGAGTCCTGAGTCCAGATTAGCAGGGGGCTGGCCACGTGGGGCCTCATTCAACTACATTTTTCTGGACCTCAATCTCCATATGATAAAAGAGAGAATTTTAATATAAGAGGAAGACCCTCAACCAGGTGGACTGACACGGTGATTGCTGCAATGGGCTCTTGTGTGTCAGGAAGTGTGAGGATGGCACAGGACAGAACAGGGTTCAGATCTTTGTTCAGAGGGTCGCTGTGAATTGTACTGGACTCAACGACACCTACCACCACCACCCCCACCAGTCCAGCATTTTCTGAAGGCAAGGACGTAGTCAGAACACATCAAGCACGCCTGGGATGAGGCTGACAGCTAACAGGATCAAGAAGTGGCTTGTGCCTCCTGTCCCTTTGGTAATACATGGACATGCGCATGCAAACACATTCAGATGCAACCTCACTTGCACACACATGCATGCCATGCGTGTATGCAACGCATCTAGGCACACACATGCACACGCAGCGTGCCGCCGTCAAGGGGATTACGACCCACAGCAACACTGTTAAGCAGCTTACTTCGTGGAGAACACACTCCAAGACCAACCACGTCTCTCTGGCAGTTCGAACCCCCCAGCTACTCCTCTCAGGAGAAAGATGAGCCCTCCGTTCGGGTGACATTTACAGCCTTGGGAAACCAAGGCAGGGGCGGCAATCAAGCTGGCTCTCACTTGATGGCCCGGAGTTTGTATTTTTAGGGTAAAGTTTTGTTTATTTTTAAAAAAATTGTGTTTATTTTGTTGTTGAGAATATGCATAGGAAAACAGAGGGCAATTCAAACTGTTTTTCTGCACATTCAATTTAATGATACTGATTCTATTCTTTGAGTTATGCAATCATTCTAACGTTTCCTAAGGTGTTGCTGCCTCATTAAGATAAACTTATTATACAGTTATCTTTTGAGTTTCTGTGGCCAATTTCATCCCATATAGATTTAAAGATGATCTCAAAAATAAAATATTTTCAGGGATTAATTCTACCCTCCTTGGTTCCTGAAAATCTGGAGTTCATGAGGATTGGGAAAATCTATCCCATATCCTCCCCCCTGTGATGAGAATTCTTCTATGAAATTTTGGATTAAAATCCTCAGTCATGGTAGCTGTGCACCACTCCGTTTTTCTGGTCTTACAGCAAAGAAGGTTAATTGTCCACAGAAGTAATTAGCCACACATTGCATCTCATCTTCCTGTTACTGATTCTGCTTCTCTATTGCTTTATGTAAATAAGGATCCATTTTTGTGCTTTGGACCCTGTACACTACACAATAAAAGAGGTTATCGGACATTTTTAAACCTTCCTTCTCATCTTCCTAGCTGACATGTCCCCTGACTCATGGTTTAGCTCAAACCTGAAGATTTACTCTAACATACTCTTCATAAGGATCACGGCCCGCATTTTTTAAGCGACCCTGGCTGGACCGGAGTAGAACGGCCTGTGGGACTTCCCAGGTTGTAACTGTTATGCAGGCAGACAGACAGACAGCTTCATCTTTACTCTGTAGAGCGGCAAGTGGGTGCAAACCGCTCACTGCTTGACCCACATCACCAGCCAACATCGGGGCTCCTGGGCGTGAATACACCACCCGATCTGCAAGTTCATTCCTTCAGAAGATTAACTTGGACCAACTCTTGGCTTCCTACTTAGTTATAATGGCAAGAAATTAGCATACTGCAGAGCCGGGGCATTAAAAATGCAAATGACTCTCTTAAGACTGTCTGATGAACTCCGCAGGAAAAGCTCGCGCAGACTGCAGGTCCGGTGTTAATAACTCTAAGATGCTAGGCGAACGCTAATGCCTTTATCACCATCTCCCAGACTAGGCAGGGAAAGCGGGGCACATGGATAGAAACGAGGCTGCTCCGTATTATAACACACTATCAGCAGCTTTCCCATTTCCTGCAGCCCCTTCCAGAACGCGGCGCAAGCTGGAACCCTTCACTGCTGAATTACACAGAAGAAGAAAAAAAGTGTCTGCGGTTTCTTTCCTGTCTGGGTGCGTGAAACGAGACCCTCGGGGGGATTAAAGCTGTTCGGAATAGAGATGGGCATGAACTGAGGATGTAAGGCAATAATGGAAGTAAAAGAGTGAGTGCTTAGAATGACACAGTGAATATGAAAAAGGCAGCTCTTACATTGTCGGTATCTGTGTCTGCCTAGATATACAGATGCTGGCACTGTGCAAGGTTAAGTCACTGCATGCATCTTCCTGTTCTAGAAGGTTCCTGGAGAGCCGGCTCTCCGTTCCTGCTGTCATGGAGTCCTCAAGCCAGAGTCAGCCTGTGCCAGCCAGACCTGCTCACAGAGCAGCTCAGCGTCCAGAGGGACAAGGAGCTGGTGGGGTACCCAGCTCTCCTTACAAGGACTCCACCCAGCAAAGCAGAGGGTGGACCCCGACGCCAGGTCTGGCAGTGAGATTCAAGTTCAAAGCTTGAACTGCCAGCAGATGATGTGTTTCCTTTAGAGTAACAAGAAAGATCAGAGCTCTCCCAGTATGATGTCAAGGTCCCTTCCTGACAGTGTGCCCAGTGTGTGTCAGAAGAGGCTGGTCCACGGAAAAAGACATCATTCTGGGGGAGGTAGAGGGCCCAGGAAAGAGAGGAAGACGCTCAACAGGAAGGACGGACACAGTGACACAATGACACAATGGGCTCGAGCATGGTGGAGATGTGAGGCTGGCACAGCGCAGGGCAGGGGTTTGATCTGTTGTTCACAGGGTAGTTATGAGTTGTAGCTGATTTGATGGCACCGTCTGATACAGGCCATGGTCTTTGCTATCACTTGTTATGCATCAGAGAGTTGGACAATGACCAAGGAGAACAGAAGGAAAATTGATGCCTTTGAGCTGTGGTGCTGGAGAAGAGTATTGAGTATACCATGGACTGCTAGGAAAACAAACAGATTCATTCTGGAAAGGGTCAAACCAGGCTGCTCCTTGGAGGCAAGGATTCTGAGGCTCCGTTTAACATACTTGGGACATGTTGTAAGAAGGGACCGGTCCTTGGAGAAGGATATCATGCTTGGTAGGGTGGAGGGACAGCGCAGGAGAGGAAGGCCCTCTATGAGGTAGATTGATTCAGTGACTGGGATAATAGGGATGGGTGTATTGGAGACGGTGCGATTTGGCACAGGACAGAGTAGAGTTTAGGGATGTTGTACATGGGGTTGCTATGAGTCGCAAGTGACTCGATGGCACATAACAACAACAACAACAACAACAATTGCTCGCCTGAGATGGGGCAGAGCAAGGGAGTGGAAAGGCTTCTTAAGAGAGAGGGAAGGGTGTATGTTGACTGTCTCATGTTCTTAGAACCTTCCTGGGAGAATGTATATATCTTACATGCTATAGCGGTTCTCGGTTCCTTCAGACGTTCTCATGACAGCTTCCTCCTTCTTACACACACACACACACACACACACACACACACACACACACACAGAGCTGACTCTCCAGTGGGCTTCCCCAGGTAATAAGTAGCACATGAGGCGACTGTCCATCTTTCTCCGGAGAAGCCACTAGAGGATTGGAAAGACCAGAGAGGTGCACCCTCTGGTTTAACAGCACAAGCCCACAGAGACAATGGCCCCAGAGCTCCCTCAGAACAACTTGCTGCTACTGTTGTTGTTGCTGTGTGCTGTCGAGCCTGAACCAAACTACAGATGACCCTCCACTGAGTTTTCAGGGGCAGATTTGCCGGCAGAGGAAGCCCCTCCTTCTCCCACGGAGCAGCTGGTGGATTTGAACTATGTGCCTTTGGAATTGCAGTGCAGCTTCTCAGCATTAGGCCACCACAGCTCTCACGCAGATCAACTTAGAGGGACTTATTAGCATCCTTCTCTTTACAGATGAAGAGAGTGAGGGCTAAACAGGCTGACTGACTGGCTTAGGGTCACAGACCAGGGTTGTAGGGAGGGAAATGTGCAACAGTCAATGAATCAACAATCCAACTTTTCTGTAAATTTTAAAATCACAACAAATTAAAAAAAAAAGAAAGAAACTTACATGTATAGTAACAACAACAACAAAAAGAACCGAGATCCAGTTTGGGATGAAAAATTCTTGGTAACAGCAGTTGATGGTTGCACAGCTTTGTTAATGTAACTAATAGCACTGAACTGTGACTTAAAAAGTACATTTTTACATCTATAAATGGCTCATCCTAGAGAGGGTAAAACCAGGCTGCTCCTTGGAGGCAAGGATTCTGGGGCTACATCTGACATATTTTGGACATGCTGCAAGGAGGGACCAGTCCTTGGAGAGGGACATCATGCTTGGGAGGGTGGAGGGACAGTGCAGGAGAGGACGACCCTCAATGAGGTGGATTGATTCAGTGACTGGGGTAATGGGGGTAGGTTTGTCGGAGACAGTGAGATTGGTATAGGATACAGCAGGCTTTAGGGTTGTTGTACATAGGGTTGCTACAAGTCACAAGTGACTTGATGGCACATAACAACAACATATATGTTATAATGCAATAATAAATGAATTTGTAACAATTTCTAAGAAAGTACCAGGGTCCTACTGTGGCCCTCTCCTCCTCCTGTTGACCCTGGCCTCCAAGCACATCCAGGCACCGTGTGCGTCTCTCCGTGGTGGTAGAAAGTACAGCACTCATATTCGACTCCCCTCTAACAGGTGGTGCAGGCCTCACCCTGACCCAGATTCACCCCATTTGGAAGAGCCCAGATGGCACAGGTGGGCCTGAGAGAGGACCCAGAGCATGTGAGGGCAGGTGGGCGCTGACTTACACGCTGGCGTGAGGCTTCTTCTTGGAGTAATCGCAGGCCAGGCCGAGGTCCGAGATCCTCACGTGGCCATGCTCATCCAGGAGGATATTTGCGGGCTGCGTGGGAAGAGAAGAGAGTCGCCTGCATGTCACAGGTACGGCTACAAGCCCTCTGCCACTGAGCTGGAGGGCCTTTCTCCCGGGGGACCTCCACTGAGCTGGAGGGCCTTTCCCCCGGGGGACCTCCACTGAGCTGGAGGGCCTTTCCCC